AGGCAATATCAACACATTAGCTGGGGCAAACAAGGTAAGCATTTCTCTAAGCTAGGAATGATAGTATTGCATGATCTTATAAAAAAAATTGAGATTATAGTATGATATTGACTGGTATGAAAAAGGGGATTGTATGGTATGAAACCATTTACCAAGTAGATTTGAAATCTAGTGGCTAAGAATGACTTGTAAAGTTTGAAAACGAATTTCTTGAATATTTATGCAAAATTTATGACACTCTTAACCATCTGATTTCTCATCTGACAACTAGAGGTGATCGTGAACTCCATATATATAAAACGTAATTCGAAAAAGGCGAATCACATATGATGGTGACGTCAAGATTCACAAACATTGCCATGTATGGTTAAAATGATATATGCATTGTGATTTTCCAACATCCTGTGAGGATAGTACAACCTTGCTGGTCCTCAAAACTTTTCAATGTGACATATCCCTCAACTGTTGCAAATCACTTCAGGGCAATTTCATCATTTGCCTATTGGAAATGCAAGAACAAGTAATGGAGCATTACTGATTTTATTGAGCTAGCTCAAATTACTAGTGCTTTGTATGATAGCTTTGCATTTGCCCTAATTTAGTTAAGCGCAGGTAAAGCATGCTCCGATGGGAGTAGACCATAAAGTGACTCCCTAGGGCAAGCGATATATTTTGGGAATTTTTTATTTAAATTATTAGGGTCCAATTAATAATAATTAGATGATTATTTTCAAATAAAAATAGATTTTAAGTTTTTCAATATTTAGATCTTGCCCTCTGAAAAGTGGATTTTCCTTATTCAATTTCAAGGCGTTTTTTTTTTTTGAAGCACAGAGAATAAAAAAGAGAATCATATTAACTCTACATGTGGCTGAAAATTTAATATTTCAAGATTGAACGGAGACCATCCAATTTTTTTTTATAATTTTTTTTCAAATACTCATCTAATAATTCTAAAGCAAAACCAAATTTGGGTTTAGAAAATCTTTCTAAGTTGTTCTTCGGCCCAAGTATATGTCTGCCATTGGTAAAGTACGTGGGTATTACCAATTTTTTAAAGTCGAATAGGTGAGTTGAATCAGTCATCCACTATTTTCGAGTCAAATCAGCTGATTTAGTAATCCGACCACTTGTTATATACCATATATGCTAGACCTATCTGGGATTTGTTTTCGAGTCAAATCAGCTGACTTAGTAATCCGACCACTTGTTATATACCATATATGCTAGATCTATCTTGGATTTGTGGTATAGCAAGCGTTAGCCATTTTTTATGGATATATGAATTGTATTTGACAAATACATTTTTGTAGTTAGAGAAATCAAACAACTTTATTGTATTTTCATTCGGTGTTTAAAATTTTGGATTAACCGAACTATCTAAGTTGAACACTTAATTACATCGTATTTTAAGGGATTGTCTATAAAGACACCACAATTATTTTTGTCCCTTAAATTTCAAAATTGGTGGTTGTAAGAGTACCATTGACAGACACAAAATTCCAAAACTAAAATTCTTGGACTTCGTGACTGGCCCCAATTCATCCAATTTGACATCTAATAAGTGAGAATAATTGTGATCTCCATGTACAAAAGATAAATAATCTCTTTATAGGCAAACTTGTGTTTTAAACCCTGGATTGGCTAGTCTATTTGCCTCGAGTGTCAACACATATGCCTAACATATTGTATTTTAGAGCATCCATACTTCTCACCATTACACACCTAAAAAAAAAAAAGGTATAATTAAGTTAAACAAAATTGACCAAATATTTGTATTTTTAAAATATTTTTGTGAACTTTAGGGTATTTTGGTTATTTTTGTATTTCAAAGTATTTTTTGATAATTATTTGTAAATGTAATATTACAAGAAATATCAACTTGTGCTCAATTTGATGTGTAGAAAAGAAAAATAAATAAAAATAATGTATACTCTTGAAAAGTGAGACATATATATTATGAGAAAGGTTTCTATGCTTCCCCTACAGCATAGAAGTTCTATCCTCCTACAATCAAGCCGTCCAATTTCGATCAAGAGAGTCACTCACCGTTTGATCTTAGATCCGACGTCTCAAAGTATTTTATTTTTATTTTTTTTATAAAAATTGTATGAATATGAAATTTAGTACGTGTCATCTTCTCATTGGGGTGCACCTATAAAAAATATTAAAAATATTTTTTTGATAAAATATAATGACCAAAATACCCCTTGAATCTTTAGGGGTACTTTGGTCATTTTATTTTATTGAATTTTTTTATATTTTTTGCTAGTACGAGTTTAATAGAAGAATGGATGTCTAAAATTTGGTATAAAAATAATTTATAAAAAAAACATTAAAAATAAAATAGTGTAGAGACATGACATTGTGATTGGGGCAATCTTAGCCCCCATTCAAAATGGATGTTTGGATAAGGGGGAGGATAGAACTTCTATGCTGTAGGGGAAGCATAGAAAGC